GAGCCCTTCTATATCTAAAAAGTAACATATTGCTTGAAAAAGTATGCGATTTGATGTCAACTAAGCGATTGGTCTCCGCATTCTTCTAAAGGCTTCGAAAAGCGGTTAAGTCAGATTATCAAAATCGTTCTACATTCTTTTTCTAAATTTAACGATCTTGGCATCCTGATTCAACGCCTTTTAAAGTGAATTAAAATTCACTGAATCAGCAGTATTTTGGCCGGAAACCGGGCGATTCCGGCAGGCCCGCTCGCTTTTTAAAGCCTCCCAAAAAAGCAAGCGAAAGCACAGTTCGGATTTCCGAATCCGATTTTGCGGGCTTTGAATCGGGAAATCGTGATCTCGCCCTAGATGATCCATCGTTTGGGGGCGGGATCGCCTAGGGGATGCCAAGAATGGAGCCCATTCTTGGTTTGATTGGGAGGAAAAGCCAGGGTTTCTAAGGACTTTCTCTAGATGCATGCAAAACGAGCAAAGATCTAGCATCGAGTCCGGGGATCACCAATTTTCCCCGTGGCTTAGGGTAACCCACTGACAACCCTCTTACATGTTCTGGCTAGCCAGTTGACCCCGGTGCAGATAATGAGCGGTGTTTGGTTTTGGGTGGGGAGTAGCAGAAAACAGACAAGAGCACATATATGGATCACCGTCATTTTAGGCTCGCTAAACGCTAGGATAAGCCAAAAAAGCTCGTTCCTAAGCTTGTTCTTATTCTCTAAGAAAATGCTTTTTTTTGTAAATTGAAAATCACCATCTACATTTTTTATTGGCTTTTATTTAACTCATTTTAATTACTGCAAAAACCTTCCAAAAATTCGTCTATTTTCAAAATCTTGAAAATATCATAATTGTTCTAGTGTCGCTCCCCATCGCCAGTCGTCCAGCACACGGGTTTCATGGATCAGTTGAGTGTGAAGCCGCTGCGAAGGACAAGGTAAGCCAGAAAAAACTACGATTTTCATACCGTGGCATGTTATCGCAGCTTCTATCGTATCTAGGCGTATCCTAGCGTACCTCTTTCAGATCCGCCCGATCAGCCTCACCAGCCGTCCACCGGTCCGTCCACATCACGGCAGATCATGGAGTTCTGATAAAGTGGGTTGGGGGCTGTAGTTACGCGATTTATATGCCACAATACGCTGTTTTACGATTTGATACAAATTACATCCCCTAATCAAGCTAAATTTTAGAAAAACTTGGCAGCGCGTGCCGAAAAATCAGTTTGGCGAAACGTTGATCCAGGACTTGGCCAACCGGATTGGAAGGGAATCGTTTGGACCTGATCCAACGGTAAGCGAGAGAGCGACGGGCGAGAGAGCGAGCGAAGGAGACAGAGCGAGGGAGAGGAGAAATCTAGACCAAGGAACTCGCTTGCGCTGTAAAAATCTTCTTACAACTACATTTCAGTCCTACGAACGTCACGCACGACATTTCGTCGACTTGATCCAATCGGCCGTCGACAATTTGGCAGATTTGGAAGAAGTGCTGAAGCCGTGGTTGACCGTTCTCGGAAGGGGACACGTTGGATTTAGGATAAAGTGAGTTGAATCAACAGACTTTTGTACTTAATGGCGTTGCCGGTTCCCAAGCCAAAATCTGCTTTTTAGGTCAAAACACTGGGACTCGTTCGGCGAGTCCGTCCTCGCCACGGTGTCCATCTACATCGGCCCGGGAGGCAGCACAAGGAGACTGTTGGGGTAGGAATTCGATTGCAACGTGACCCGCTGTGTGACTTGTTCGGGTCGTCCGGCAGTTATATGAGGATCACAGCGGCCCCCCAGACAGATCGGAGAGCGAAGAAAGCTAAAATGGCAGCGAGTGAGCGAGAGAGAGCGAGAGAAGGAGAAAGAGAGAGCGAGAGAGAGAGAGAGAGAGAGAGAGAGAGGTAGCAATGGAGATCAAGCTCAACCCTTTCAGGCCTGGATGCTGCTTTCCTCCTTCTTGGCAGACCGTCTCAGCGCAGCTTGTCGTTCTACCAACCTGTCCCCGATGGTGACGCCGCGGCTCCAGTTGATGACCTTCGTTCAGCCATAAACAACAAAATTCATTGCTCTGTCTCGTTTGCGGCATTTTATGAAAATTTCTGGATCTCAAATCCCTTTCAGAAATCGTTGATCACCTTCCTGCTTCCCTTTTTTGTTGTTAGAAATGGATAGCGGCGCTTGTAGTCGATTTTTATAAAGTTGTGTACATATTTAAAAATCCAGTGGTGTTTTCCTTTTTGCTACACATTCCAACGATTGTTACTGTATTTTTATACAATTTCTATTTTTTGTGTTTTTCATTAATTTTGGTCACACGAAGCAATGTGAATTTGACGACTCCCGTGGTTTTTGGTGTGGTTTTTTGGGAATAAATTAATGGTGTGTAAAAGTTGATAGGATCACACTTTTTTCCTTAATTTCAATTGCTTTTAAAGAGACCATAAAGCTAAAAACATGCTATTAACGTCGGAATTAAGCCCCTGAAATCCACGAATTTTGCCTTGCAGGTCCCTTAAAAGCCGAGTCTACTAAAATATTCATAGCACAAATTTTTGGGCTTTCTTTTACCAGCTTTAAATGTTGGAAAATAAAAAATTTGTCTAGATGAAGCGGATATCTCAAAACCTGTAAGGAAAATAGTGTTGAAGTTTTCTAAAGGAGTGTAAAGGCCTTAAAAACTATTCGAAACTAATAAAGTCAGGTAGCTTCGCTTTGTTTTTGTCGAGTCACGATAAAATCGGTTCAAGATGTGCCATGAGGTGAACGCGAAAAAACAGCGGTCCCACCCCCGGTTCACCCCACCGCCCATTATTTGCCCTAACAAATTGCTCTGTTTTGCCGATTTCACGCCCGGGCTTCTCCTCCTCCTTATCCTGTAACTCCCGCAAAGCTGTTTGCCCGCCCTCGAAAAATCAGAAGCTTAGCCGAACGCCTCCCGTCGACTACACTTGAACTCCGCTACGTCGACCTTAGATCTTGTACACAGGTGTCGAGTGTAGTCGATTGGAGAGTAAAGTGCGTGCTTCGGGGTTTTTACGTGCTGGCTTATTGAGGGGCCCGGGGACATTTCATTCCATTTATCGCGCTCAAAATCAACTCAAAACCATAAAATCACAGAGGTGGGATCATCGTCCTCTTCTCTCCCCATCTCCTCGATTCGTCTTGCTCGGGGGGTTTTGTAGTCGGTCGGTCGGAAGCCGCGGGGATCTGGAAAATGGGCTTTAAGTGGTTTGATCTTAAACAAATTCCCGACCTTCCGGTGAATTCCTTACTGTTTGTGTCGCTTCGATCGGCGATGACTAATGCTTCCGGTGAGACTTTGGTCGAGTGCTTAACGCGGAAAATAACTTACCTTATTAGCTCCCTGAATACTTTACACCTCCCACCTTACATCGGATCCGTCCTCGGATCCTAAATGCAGTCGTTGTTTCTTTGTTTCGATTCAGTTTTACGTTTTTATGAAAAATATGTTAGTTTAAAAAAGTAAGAAAAAAAATGTTAGTTAGGTCAAAGATTGACCAGTAGTGTCGATAAGACAGGTTAAAATTACCGGGACTAGAGTTGGTGGTCGTTGTCCGTAGGGATGGAATATTTACTCGAGGTGTTCCGGCGAACGGATGTGAGCTTTACAAAAATCGTTGGGTTTGAAGTAAGGGGAAGAGAAATGAGTGGATATGGAATAGTAACTTACTAGATGAAATCTAGATGTCGGGCAAGCGTTCAATTAAATGTTAGCTAAAAAAAGTATAATAACTGAAATAATTAAGGGAGTTACGCTTTGCTGTTTGGGAATAAGTTTTTACGAAAGAGACTGGCCTGTTGGTTTTGCTGGAGAAGTTGCTGGCCCGGAGGATGAGCAATCTGGCTGTACTTCCCGATGCTTCTATGCTGAGGTGGAGTCGAGCGACATGGGTCTTTCAAGGGTCCGGGGCACTCGAAGGGGATCGGAATACATTGATCATTTATGCATGTCGTCCGTTCGGGCTTCGCTTATACTTCCGAAAATCTGATTCCCGAAAATCCGTTTCCCGAAAATCCGATTCCCGAAAATAGAATTCCCGAAAAATCCGAATCCCGAAAAATCCGAATCCCGAAAATCTGATTCCCGAAAATCCGGTTCCCGAAAAATCTGAATCCAGAAAAATTCGTTTCCCGAAAATCTGTTTCCCGAAAAATCTGAATCTGAAGAATCTGCGGATCGTGAACTGAAAAAAAAAACCCTGGTACAATTCAACGAGCCGGGGGGAGGGAGATTCAGGCGGGGGGCAATCTGCGTCTCAGCGCCCGCCCTGCTCTCTAGGCACCCCCTCTGCCTATAGGCCCACCTCCCCCCCCGCCGAAATCCTCACCCCCCGCCTATTTGATTTGTACCAAAACCCTTTCTAAAGTTCCTGGGCGACTTCCAAGACGGTGAATTCAATAAAATTAATTTTTAACTTTGCTTTCTTCAAATTTTGGCTTTTCAGAGCGCGGTCTTTCCAGGTTTCGATTCTGGGGCTCGGATTTTTCGGGATACAGATTTTCGGGAATCGGATTTTCGAGAATCGGATTTTCGGAAAACGGATTTTTCGGGATTCGGATTTTTCGGGAATCGGATTTTCGGGAATCAGATTTTCGGGATTCAGATTTTTCGGGATTCAGATTTTCGGGAATCAGATTTTCGGGAAACAGATTTTCGGGATTCTCATCGGAAATCCGTCCGTTCGTGTCGGGATTTGCGTAGGGCCTGAATTAAGGGAGTGAAAAACTTGTTTGTGAATTGGCCCAGTGTTCTAAAAAGATATGGGTAACTTGGATTCGGATTAGATGTGGAGAAGCGTAACTTCGAGAATAAAATTCCCATCTGTAACGTGCATTGCTAGGTTCGATAATTTTAATAAAATAACAAATTGGAAAAATCTGGCAGGATAATTTTGGATAGCTAGGTTGCTGACCTGGGCGGCTCCGTTCCGTCGGCGAATAATTTATTTTCACGGCGCCCTAATGGATCTGGCAAACAAACGAGCGACTGGCATTCCATGGCTTTGTCGCGGGCTGCGATCAGCATCGAGGCACGTGATCGATTGAGGAAGCTATGTTGATTGAAGTGGGGATGAAGCACTCAAGTTGGGTTTCGAGAAAAGGTGGAGCCTGGGGCCTTTGGTATAAGTTGGGGGAACATGGATTAGAAAAAAAAAATTCCGTTTTCGAGTTCTAGTAGTTGTGGGGGGAAGTATTGTTGATTGGAATGTTGGTTATACGTTGAAAACGCGTTCAATTGAGTTTGCGGATAAACATACTGAACTGATGATGTGTCTTGCTGCTGCTGAAATTGTAGTGCTCCGCCATTTCCATTCAGTCGTTGCCTGTCCCTAATCTGATGCCAACAGTCTTCGGTATGATGACCAAATTTGTTACAATAAGAGCAAGTGACCTGGTAGTTCCGTCCTTGGTATCCACGGTTACTGGGATATTGCTGCTGCGTCGCCATCCCACCATTGAACTGCGCTGGATCATTTTGTTGAGTTGAATAATTGTTAGAGTCATGGTAGTTAGACGAAAAATTCGTCATAGCTTGAACTGCCGGAGCAAGAGTATTGTCCGTGGGCAATAAGCTAGCGGCTGAAACATCGGAAAGTAGGATTTCTACCTGCTTTGCTCTATTTACTGCCTCCTCGAACGTCGCCGGGTTGTCTTGTAGCGTCCAAAATCGCGTTGTCGGTCTGAGCTTAGAAATAAATGCTTCTAAAAGGGTGGTTTTATATACTTCTTCATGCTGGGTTGCAGTAGCGATTCTTACCAATTTCATTAGGCGATTTGCGAAGGCCTCGGCTGACTCACCAATTTCTTGTCGTGTGGAGGAGACCTTTTGGCGGGCTAAAAAGCGTTGCTGCGGCGACTCAAATTGATCTCTCAAATAGCCGATCAATCGTTGATATGACGCTCGGACGTCTTGTGGGGCTTCTTCAACCTTTTCGCGGGCGAATCCGTCCAAGTGTACAATCAAAAACCTCACCTTTTGGGCGTCGGTCGTGTTTGCATCCGTCCTTGTTGCCATAACATCTTCAAATCGACGGAGCCATAGGGAAAACGATAACTGACTGTCGGATCCAGAAAATGAGGAAATGGTATTTCCTCGGACTTCCAGAGCCATAACCCTGGGGAGATATGGATTAAATTGTTTTTCGATCATAAAATGACCACAGGGATTCAGGATGTGAACCTGCGTGGGGTCTGCAATTTGGTTGTCTCCATGTCGGCGTTGTGCAGCGCCATTCAGGGTGTTCTCCTGCTGAGTGGGGGTATGTAACTTCGACAATTGAATTGCCAATCTCGACTTCGGCAGGCCGGGTGGGCCTGTTCCGCTCGTCGCCATCCGGGGCTTATCCGTTTCGCGTCTCAGAACAGAGAATTCATCTGGGAGCGACCCAGGCATCTCGAGAAAATAGAGGAAAACATGCAGCAATTGTGCCTTTGTCACTTGACTAGTCCAAAAAGTACTTCGCGCCCGATTCGCGGAAATTTTGCAAATGCTTACATCGCGTCTGATTCGCGGAACTCTCAGAAAATACTTCTTTGCGCTTTTCGCGGCTTTCAGGATAGAGGTCGACCTTAGGAAATTCTGTAACTTCGAGAATAGAATTCTCATTTCTTTGCTACTTTAGGATCATGTGCCACAATGATCCTACTGTCAGAGCTGAAAAATAGCAAAAAGAAATGCGAACAAGATGCGGCCGAAAAAGGCGCATAAAAATGAGCTCAAAGTTTCAAAGTGGAGGTGGGAGGGGGACGGAATTCGCTGCTACCAGTAAAGAGCGTGCTTCGGGGTTTTTACGTGCTGGCGTTATTGAGGGGCCCGGGGGACATTTCATTCCATTTATCGCGCTCCAAAATCAACTCAAAACCATAAAAATCACAGAGGTGGGATCATCGTCCTCTTCTCTCCCATCTCCCTCGATTCGTCTTGCTCGGGGGGGTTTTGTGAGTCCGGTCGGTCGGAAGCCGCAGGGATCTGGAAAATGGGCTTTAA